ACACAGACATCACTTACAAAGTAGCTGGGGACGCTGCCTCAGCTTGCCACCAAGTTCCTTGACACTTAGTTTAGTTCAGGTAAAGTTAAATAGGTAACATTCAATAAAAGTTGCCCAATTTGAATCCATACCTTGTTGTCTGTCTCGTTATTTCAGGGGTTAAGGGGCAAACAACTTTTAATTGCCCTTTTAGCCAAATGATTAGTCATTCAGAGGAATAATCCACATTCTTATCTCCCACCTTCCCAAGCGTATGGTTATCCTTGTATGATGTCTTTTACAACTGGTTCCCATTCCCAATTGATGGCCAACCTGAATTCAGACAAGTGAGTGCTGGCTTCCATGTACTTGGTATCACATGTAGGCAAAAAATGGGGTTAGAATGTAACTTACGTCACAACAAATGCTCCATTATTTCACCTTCAAACAGTCTTCCATTTGAAGGTGCCTTTTGTTTGAAGGATTGTCCATTCCAAGTCTGGTGTGAGTATTTAAAATAGTTCTTCTCTGCTAGTTCAGCCCAGTTATGGAATATCTTTGCTTGAGAAGTCCAATTGATACCAAAGTTACTGTCATTCTCACAATAAAAGAGAATTGTCATCAAAACCACAACTTAATCTCAGAATTTGACTGTAGCCCATGTAAAACCAGTCCTACCAGAAGACAGAGTAAAGTGCTAAGTAAAAAGCATGTTTACTAGAGCTGTGGTGGCATGGCATTCACATGAATCATTTTAATTTGTTTTAAAGTATTGTTGTGTTTTAGTGCTAAATAGATTTTAGCCATTTCTATTATATTTGATTTATTATATTAATAACCTCATTTTCTTCCAGCACATGATAAGTTACTCATCATCCCAAACTGTTTTCAACTGTTCAAGTTTTAATGAATAATAAACATACATCTCCTCTTTTGAGGGAAAATGCAAGTAGACAGTAGGCACCCTAAATTGAAATGAGCCTCACAGCGGTTTGGGCAATGGGAGTGGGAATGGAAAGACATAATTTTGTATATTTACAGGGAAAACACAGAAACGTATTTCACTATGGGATGTGGAACACGTTAACTGTGTTTCGCTATTATGTGTATTACGTTTCTATATTTTGGAGTCATAATTGCTAAGGTTCTTTTTAACACAAAACCAAGAATGCAATAGTTTTTTTAAAAAATCTAAATAGAAAATTGGAATTTTACCAAAGATATTGCATCTGCCTTTGTGCTATGTCACTTTAACTTGATCTGTCAAGCACCACTTTCCAGTCAAAATAACAACAGTTAAGTATGTTTTACATGTTAAAATCACCTAAATCAATATACATGTTATGGATCCTAGAAGTGGGGCATCAGCCCTCTTGCAAAGTGTGAGCTAGGCGAGTGTAAAGGCCCATTGAAATTTGGAGCATCAAGCCTCTTATGTAGTTGAGCCTCCTTAGGAATGTTTTGATCAGAAAGTTACAAAATTAGCAAGCCTGAAAAAATAAATCATGAATTCAGATCTCCAACAAACAACAAAGACTATATGCCATTTATTCTATGCATGTTTGCTTGGTAATAAGCTCCACTGAATATATCTAAGTGTATATATATCTATATATCTATATATCTATATATCTATATATCTATATATCTATATCTATATCTATATCTATATCTATCTATCTATCTATCTATATATATATATATATATATATATATATATATCCACACACACACATATCTAAGGGTGCTTGTAAGAATGTTTATAATTACGGATGACTAAATTGTCATGGATTGGTATGAGCAGCATCGTGCTTTTGGGTACTATGATAAGTTATGTGATGACCTAATGTGAGATTCTAAACCATAGAAAGAAATAGGCCACATCTACACTGACCATTTCATGCAGTCCAAAGCTAGTTTCAATCTATGGTGAGAGACAACAAAATCGCATGAAAGAAAACTCTTAATATGCATGGTTTCAGTAATCACCATCCGGGCCCAGATTTCCTAAGTAATCATCTGCACAGTGAAAACACTTTCCTCAATGCCAGTTTGCAACTAGATGAAATAGTCAGTGTAGATGTGGCTATAGACTGTCCTGCTCTTGGTGGACTTAGGAAACATCTATACCTTTTCGTTCTTTCATTGAGGGCCCATTTGCCTGCTGGAGTGGGAGGATGGGGCAGAGGAGAATTCAGGATCACTTTTAGAGAATAAACTGGAGCAGAAAGGCCTATGGAAGTACCATGACTCAGAATTATCCTTGAGGAAGTAGCATCTGCAAAGTACATTATTTTTCTGTGATTTCTGCTTCTACTGTTTATATGATCTGAAGTTAGTTTCTCTCACTATGTTGGCCTTTAAGGATTGTACTGAAGCATGACATATTGTGTTGAGGCACCTTGGGTCCCCTTGGGTCCCCTTGTCAGGGTAGAGAACCACCTTGGGTCCCCTTGTCAGGGTAGAGAAGGGTGGGTACAAGTATGGCAAATAAATAAATAAAACAAGGACATCGCTGGCTGAAATCTGAGTCTTTAAATCACAGAGGTAGAAAAGATCCCAGTTTTACCTTTGGATTCTTGCTTGTGCAGAAATCCAAAAGCTAAAACACCCTGAGAGATAGCCATCCAAGCTCGACTTAATGATTTCTAATGACAAAAATACTATCATTCTCCAAGGGAGTCCTATGTGTGACCTTGTCATAGACAATTATAAGCAGAAGAAAATATATTATACATTACTATATTAGGTATAAGAATTTCATTTGTCTAAAAAATAAAATCCATTTTCCCTATGGCCATAGTGATAGTCCAATCAATTAATACAGTATGGGTTTTAAGTGGAATAAATTCCTAAAAATGCCAATAAGAGAGACTTAAAGTTTGAACTGTACAGGGGGTTTATATTGACATGTAAGCTACATATACAGGAGGCTTTTTTCTTCCTTTCCACCTTTTTGTCCTATTTATAGATCCCACCCCCCATTTTAAAATCCAATACATGTGGGATTTCTCCCAAAATAAAAAGGGAAGCCCATCTTTTGCTTCTTTCTTCCAGGGAAAAGCCCTCACTACATTATGCAATCCTAACTAAATAATACAGCCGGCCCTCCACATTTGTGGGTTTGCTTTTTGTAGATCTTATTAATCATAGATTTGATTAATATTTCTCTCTAGAAATGTTTCCATGTTCAACTTCCTTTGGATGTTAATCATAAAGCCATGCTGAAGGACCTAGAGATTCCTAGATATTAGGGCTGTGCAAAACTCCGGATGTGGGTCGTAAGTTGTATGTGTTTCAGTAAATTCATACTTACAACCTGCATTACGAAGTCAGCACCATGCCCCCGCACACATACATACACACACAGAAACAAATGAAAATATCCTTTTACAGAGATTTTGTAAGAAGTTTGTTGCTTTTTGTAAGCCACTGTGAGTTAGCTTCTTCTTCAGTGCAAACAAACTCTACTGAGTGATGCAACCAAAAATGGTATGTCACATGTTCTCCTCAGCTTATCAGAGCTGAAGGAGAGGGAAAAGGAGGAAGAGCTTCCTTTAAATTTTGCATGTGCCATGCAAGTTTGGCTTAGTTTGCCTCAGCTTAGGATTCCTTTTAGGATCACCACAATCAATTTTAGGATTCTTTTAGCAAAAGCTAGAGTGGGAACACTACAATATATTAGTTGTTTTTATTTGTATAAACTTTTAAAAATTCCTAAATGTCAGTGGATAATCAGATCTTTCTGAAACTTGGCAAGAATGATGTCTTGCTCCTGTTCCGTTGCTTTGAGGAATTTCCAGGGGATACCTCTTTTGGTTTTTTTTAATGGGCAAAATTTAAAGAATTCCCTTAAAGTCAGTGGATGTGCAAATCTTTTGGAAACTTGGGAGAAATTGTGCTCTGGTTATGTTGTGTCATTGTGGAGAAATTCAAGGGGACAGCTCTTGCAGTTTTTAAAAAAGAAAATGTTGTTTGTAAAAATGTAAAAACTTTCCTTAAAATCAATGGATGAGTGAAATGTTCTGAAACTAGGAGAGGGGTTATGGTGGTAATGTGGGGTTATGTGTGCTACAATTGTAGCAAGATTCATTCCTGATAGCCTTATAAATTAGGGGAAAGGGAGCCCTAGAAGTGTCCCCATTGGTGCAAATGGGCGAATAACATAACAAAAAAAAACTTACTAAAGTTTCAGAACTTCATATTATATATGACACATACACCTTATGAATTCATCAAAACACTTTAAAATCAAAATGGGGGACACTTGAATTTTGTAAATAAAAATTAAGTGGATTTTTGGCATTGTGCACACTTCTACTAGATATAATACTTCTCTGGGTTTCTGTAGTTGCACTAGAAGACCTAGAGATTCCTAGAGAGTTGTTCTTTCAGGTAAAAAGATGTGTGTTCTGATTTACATTTCCATAGGTATCTTCCACCCTTCCTCTCCAAAAAAACTGGAGAACCTACTGTCTTTTTCTCTAACAATTTCAGGGGTTTTGACTTTGGGACATTCAGAACTCTGGCCAGCTCACATGTTTTGCCAGAAAGCTTGTTGTAATACTCTGAAGATTAGGTTGTAAGACTTTTACGACTTAGAAAAACTTGTGAACATGGAGGTCCTTGTCATTTAATAGCCTGGTGAATGTCAATAAATCAAAACACACCTGACAACATTAGGCACAAGAATAAAATTAAGTTGGCCTCGTTTTACTTAAAGTAGTAAATGTCATTTTGGAATTATTTAGAGATCGAAAACTAAGACAGGGAGTCATCCAAATTGCTCTTTTAGATTAGACACTGATCTTTGTTCATACATAGATGGCAGCAAAGCCTCTAATCCTAACAATTTTGTAAGTATCACTAATTTTCTTTAAACCATCAAAGAAAAACTGAGAACATTATCAAAACAGACTCAGTTGCAGATTCAGAAAGGACATAAAACATAAAGACTGGTTAAGTTCAATATACTACAAAGAGTCCGAAAGAAGTTACTAACAGGGATTTCAAGTGCTTACCTTTTTCATCAGAACTTCAAATTTTGAAGAGTGTTCTAAGCTTTACAGGGCAAGACAACATGGAGAGATTCCACAAACATGGGCTTCTGAGGTGGGATTTCATGCAGACGAGGTATCAGGATTTCACAAGAAAAAAGAAACAGATCTGAGAATAAGGAAACCACAGTTATAAGTAGAGAGATACATGTCCTACATATATCTCAACATATACTTTTATGACTCACAGCAACTAACCAGAAAGTAGCCTGAGCTATAACTTTTTAAGGAAGGGGCTCCAGATCAATAAGTGTTTTGATTGTCATAAACTAGGTCACCTACAAAAATCACTAAACCTGTGTTTTGACAAATAGCACTTAAAGGGTTTCAGTCTAAGAATGCTCAATTAATACAGAAAGCCTAGAGTTATAAAAACATATACTAGCAGGTTTATGGTAGTACACATAAATTAATATAATGCCCTGCATTGCATTGAAGATATAGTGGCAAAAAGAAATCGCAAAGCTTCCAAATCACAAACTAAATTGAATTTCAGGTAGCCCTGTCATCAATGGGTCTAGAATAGCTTAAATCCATCCATTTAATTGAGTTGTAGATCAAATTGCCTATCTGTTAAATCCCCCAAAGCATTTCTGTTAAATCAACTTGCTACACATACATGATGTTTAAAAATAAGTCAAACAAAACATGACACATGTTTTGTTTTGAACACTTACTAAAATTCCAAAAAAAATTGATATTATAATAAAAATGGAAACATACATTAGTTTGCCTTAGTGTCACCATAAGTCAGAAATTATTTGAGAAGACCCACAGCAACAAGCAACAAAAATGTGGGTGGGATTGGTCTATCAGTGTGGCACTGCTAAACTTTTAAATAAGAGGTGAGCATTTTGTGTTTTTCCAAAAGTTGTTGGACTGCAACTCTCAGAATTCCTCATTGGTGGCCATGCTATCTAGGACTAGAAGCTGCAGTCCACCAACATGTGGACAGCCAGGTTTAAACGGGAATTATAGTAAGTTAAGTAATTACAATGCTGCACCGAGATCTTTTGTAGCCTAAATAGAGTTCACCTAACATCTTTTCCAACACTGAGGGCACTCAAAATCCAGTAGTCTAAAAGACTGTGCTGAACCATTTAATTTTCACCTAACCCTCTACATTTCATGGCCTGAATCAGCCCGCTTATCTATTTTTATGGAAGGGGTGGCTTTGGGTGATCATACTGAGAGGACATCCAGAAAAAATGAAAAATATAAACCTTGCACAGGAGGAACATTCATATACTCTGGGACAGCTCTGTACTGGAAAATATTTGAAGAACAGTAGAAAGATTTACTCACCCATTCTAGAAGCTGATACAGTTCTCTATGTCCAAACCTTCTTGTGGCAAGGCAGCAAATCCTGAAAGCTTCTCAGAGAAAAGAGCTCAAGAGAGAGACCTGACTCAGTTTCAGCAAATGAATCAAGAATTTTCATGCAACCCAAGACTATAATAATAATAAATTAAGAATCAACTCAAACACGACTGAAACATGTAATTATGCAAAACTGCTTTAAATGGGCATTTGTTCAAAAGCAGTGGGCTTAAAAAGATTAATAAAATTAAATACTATGCAACAGCGTTTCAGTTCCCAACCCAATTGGGTCTTTTAAGTCCCTTTGGGCTCTCATGGAAATGTATGGCCAGGCTCCCACTGATTGAAATGAGACTAGTTAGGAAGGACTGGGCCTTTGTGTGGTTCACTGGTTTAATTTTAGAATTCCACTGCCAAAGTCAAGCACAAAGCCCACGTTACATATCAATAGCGTCTTTTCAATCTGTTAATTCCGTGCATGTTTCTTTAAACAGGTTTTCCCTTTCTACAGCCTTGTAGCAACCTTATTATTAACTCTGGATTATAAAAAGATCATGGATTTATTTAAACATAAGTTCATTTTTTTTAAAAATGCACCCCACATCCAGACATTGATCTCTTTGTAGTCTGTCTGACATGTTGCTTGTGACATTATTTTGAGGAGGTTTGGTGCATTTGTCAAGTTTTTTATTCAGATGTATATTTCTGAAGGCAAGTAGGAAGTTCAGATTGCTACATAGCCGCTCATAGAGATAGAAATCTAGGAGGAAACTGAGAATAATCCAATAAAAATGGTAAAACTGAAATCCTGTGCACATTTATCCGGAAGTGTGTCCCGTCAAGCCCAGTGAGACTTACTTCTGCTCATGCATGCTTTCAATCATATTTGGTGGCCCATCATATTATCTTTAATCAACATCATTAAAATAAGGATCACAAATCAATGAATATTTACATAGAACTAAGTCCTTCTAGGGCAGGCATGGGCAAATTTTCTGACTTGGGGGTCGCATACTAGCACTCCATACTAGGAGGATTGGCTGTCTGGTAATGGAAGGAAGGAAGGAAGGGAAGAACGAAAGGGTGGAAGAGAATGGAGGGAGGAAGAAAGGGGGAGGGAGGAAAGAGGGAAGGAAGGAAAGACAAATGGGAAGGAAAGGAGGAGGGAGGGAGGGAGGGAAAAGAGGGGAGGAAGGATGAAAAGGTGGAAGGGAAGGAAGGAGGGAGGGAGAAAGAGGGAGGTAAGGAAAGAAGGGAAGGAGAAAGGAAAGAGAAGAAGGAAGGAAGGAAGGAAGGAAGGAAGGAAGGAAGGACGATGGGTGAAGGGAATTGAGAGAGGGAGAAAGAGGAAGAGAGGGAAGGAGGGAGGAAAGAGGGAAGGAAGGAAAGACAAAAGAGAAGGAAGGAATGAAGGAAGGTTGAAAGGGAGGGAGGGAGAAAGAGGGAGATAAGGAAGGGAGGAAGAGAGAGAGGGAAGGAGAAAGGAAAGAGAGGAAGGATGGAAGGATGGAAGGGAAGGAGAAAGAGAAGGAGGAAGTAAAGAGGGAAGGAAGGAAAGATAGGATGGTGAGAAAGAAAAGTGCCTGTGAAAAGAGCCCAAGGGGCCGCATGCTGAATAGATTTGCCCATACCCGCTCTAGGGCCGCTTCCACACAGCTGAATAAAATCCCACAGTATCTGCTTTGAACTGGAATATATGGCAGTGTGGATCCAGTTCAAAGCAGATATTGTGGGATTTTCTGCCTTGATATTCTGGCGGATATGGCTGTGCGGAAGGGCCTTAAACTGAATAGAACAAACAGCCCAGGTTTGCTCCCTTCCCCATGGCCACATTTTGCTTGAATTTGTATAATGTGTTTTGCTAAATTTGAACTAATCTTTGTAAAAATATTATTTACACAAATAAAAGAAGAAGACATTTTAAAAAACCTGAAATCTGCATCTTATTTTTCACCATGGGGAAGAATTCCATTTATGTTTCTGCAACTTCTCACCCGAGTAGGCCTGCAAGAGTCAAATACTGGAGAAAAACCATTTAAAGCACTACGCTTCTTTACCTAATGTACAGACAGATAAAAATGAGCTTTTTCTATAGCGGGTCTTACTGACTTTAATGCTAGAATGTGCTGCTGACAAGAAGAAAGGGTTTGGCCTTGCTTTCTTTGAATACTACTTACAAAGAGCAAACTGCATCTCTATCTATTCCCCTCAGTGAAAATCTCTTATTGATTTAAAAACCAGATGGGGCTATTCTGTATTATGAGAATCTAATCTGACCTTCTCTTTTCTTTTGCTCTGTAAATGAAGAAAGAACTTCCTCTCTGTTTTGCTTACAATTGTACATGTTTGCATTATGTTGGTCTCTTAGTATAGTAAGAGATCACATTATTATCATTGTTATTACTATTATTATTATTATTAAATATGCTAATATGAAACATAATATAGATATGCGAAATCAGTACATAGATATAGAGCACATTATTTTAGGATATGTATATATGACTGATATATTGAAATATTGTATTTTATATTTGTGCAGTAATTTTTCACATCTATTTATTTATTTATTTATTTATTTCATTTATATACCGCTTTTCTCTACCCCTAGGGAGACTCAAAGCAATTCGCAACAAAGTAAAATTCAATGTCTCACAAGATATAAACACAACACATCACTAAAATCGCATATTATAATTATAGATTAAAATCAGTTAACTATAAAACATCAAACATAAACAACAACCATCACAGTGCCAATCACCAGTTCAGGATCTGAACAGCCTCCTTAGCAGCAGGTGGAAAGGAGTAATAGAGTTAAACATCATCTGAATTGATATGGCATTGAACTCCAAAACTCTGGATGATCTCTCCCAGTGGCTTCATGTAGATGTTAAACAACATGGAGGACAGTACTGAACCCCGAGGAACTCCAAAGGACAAAGGTTGTAGGCCGAGCAAATGTCCCCCAGCAGCACTTTCTGAGAACAACCCTCTAGGAAGGACCAGAGCCACTGTAAAACAGTACCTCCAAGCCCTATATCCATGAGGTGTCTCAGAAGGATACCATGGTCTACTGTATCGAAAGCCACTGAGAGGTTCAAGAGGACCAACAGGGACACACTCCCCCTGCGTAGATCTGTTCAAGCCTGTTTCAGTCCCATGTCCTGGTCTAAAGCCAGACTGAGAAGGTTCTAGATAATCAGTTTCTTCCAAGAACACCTGGAGTTGTGAGGTCACCACATGTTTCAAGACTTTACCCATAAAGGAAAGATTGGAAATTGGCTGAAAGTTGTTCAATTGAGTGGGATCCAGTGTTGGTAATCTACATTACATTTGCATAATTATTGTGAGCATAATGAGCATAATGAGCAAAATGAATGTTATGAAGGCATGTTTTTGTGTGTGGCACGTGGCTATGAAGGGATTGATGGCTGGGAAGATGAATCAGTGAATATGTCAGAATGAATGACTGGTCCATCTTTCCTATCATGTTTCCTTGAAAATAAGACACTGTCTTATATCAATTTTACCTCAAGAAGACAAACTATGGCTTATTTTTAGGGAATGTCTTATTTTTATTAACAATCTGCATTTATGGGATTATCTTTCCAGGCTCAGCAGCAGACTGCTTGCTGAAGTTTTTCTCCTATCCCCTAGTGTTTGTGTAGGGTGAGAGAGACCCACAGACTGTTGCTGGTAAGTGCTG